CAACAATCGTTTCCCTGTTTTGGGAGTGGGACAGAAAAATCTCAACCCACGAGAAAAATTCTTAAACTCTGGCTTTTGGCAAAGATTTGACCTAGACATTTATAAATCCAACCCCTTAAGTTAAGATTGGTCTGTCCTACGTCCAAGGCGGGTAAAGATTACCTTAATCTTAGTTGATCAATACGTTAAATATAAATTTAAATACCATTTACTTTTGATCAGTTTGGCTGTATTGATTTCAAATTATTTCCTTGTGTATAGAGTTTCTTCCGTTTCTTCCTGATATCAATTGATTGTCATTATAATTACTGTACAGTGTATATTCTACTACAATATTGATCACAAATATGGACTCGGCATTCAATTACAAGTTAAATAAGACATTTAGATAAATATTGTCTGTATTAATTTTCTTGACAGGGATGTTTGTTTCGTTTGTTAATCAATTATTTCACTTCAAACACGTGATTGGAAGGGGATGGGTCGATGCTAGTAATGGTACCCCAGGTTAAGCTTTTAGTCATGGCCCATTATTCATTAAATCATCAGTGGTGGAAGCCGAGGGTATTTCAACATCGGAGTTGAATTGCACAGCATTGCATTGTAACAAGATGAAACATTTCTTGTTTTTGCTTTTTACTGTTTTTCTATGCAGTAACATTGTCGACACGACAACAATGGGATTTAGTAAATTACTATTACAAGATTTGTTTCAAAACTATTCCAAAGACATCCGACCAGTAGAGGACCAATCGAAAGCCGTGACTGTAAACATGGACCTTGATGTTGTCTCCATCAACGACTTTGACGAAGTAGCTGGAACAATATCGGTGGTCATCATCTTGTACATTTCTTGGACTGACGAAAGTTTGGTTTGGAATTCCACCTCGTATGGAAACACAACTGAATTGACGTTTACACAGAAGAAGATTTGGTTACCCAAAATGTTTTTATGCAATCCGGCCGATTTATTTCTACCCATTAGTAGCAAACATTTCAAAGTCAAAGTAACGTCAAACGGCAATGTATTTTGGTTACCTGGTGCTTTGCTGAAAGCAACATGTACGCCGGATGTTTCTAGTTTCCCGTTTGACCAACAAACATGCACACTATCAGTGAGCCCATGGGGATACTCGAGCAAAGAGGTGAATCTGAATATACCTTCCCAAACTGTTTTTTTCACTTATTTTTATAAAAATACTGAATGGGATGTGATAGGATCAGCTACAACGCGTTGGTCGGGATCATTTGACATTGCATATTACTATATAACTATCAAAAGACGTCATATGAATTTTCTTGTGAGTGTTGTGATACCAATCATCATGTTAGCTTTTGTGAACCCGTTCGTTTTTATTCTACCATTTGATTCAGGTGAGCGGGCGTCGTACAGTATCACAGTGTTATTGGCATTCACTGTGTATATGACGGTAGTAAGTGACCGGATGCCAGCTTCATCGGAACCTATGTCTTTTATTTCTTACTATCTTCTCTCATTGGTTGGCATCAGTGTAGTCATAGTAACGATGAATATTTTTCAAATGAGAACATACAGTAAACATGATACCGACGAGCCGGTTCCTGCATGGCTAAGGCAAGTGTATTTGCATATCCAAAATATATTTCGAGGTAAAAAAGTAACAGCTGAGGAACAAAAAATCAAACTTGCTTTTACCGACGGTAAAGCAAACAACGGATTGGATAACAAAGGGACACAGAATCTGGAATCTTCCAAAAGAAATGGTGACTTATTTTACGCTAGCATTTTACCTGTATCACAGGGAAACGAGAAAGTTAACACTGAGACCGTGTCCATGGTTACCGAGCATCAACCGGAAGTAGTGACTTGGCACATGGTGGCGAAAACAATTGATAAGATGTACTTTGTCCTGTTTTTGGGTTTGACTTGCGTTGCAACTGCCGTATATTTCATCAATGCAAATTGAATCGTCCATAGTTAACGAAATGAATTTAATTTCATGTTCAGGTAGGTTTATAAAAGAACAGCTCGGCTTAAAACTAATAAGGATGTTAATCATTATCATTTTATACAATAGAGATGTTGTAATGTTTTGTCACTGGAAAAAAGTAATCATGGATTTGAATAACTTTTGCAAATTTCGTATCATATATGTCAAGAACTCAAGTTTTCTACTGATATTAGATTCGACGCCATTTGACTGTAGGATAAACGTGACGTCATTCATTTATTCACAAATATTTTATAGTTTTCTTTCTTAGCTCGATTCGTGTTTTTTTGTCAATAACATGTTTCAAGTATAATGCTATGCAGAGGTTATATACATATTTTTCATTCTGATATGAATATATTATCGAAACAGACTGGAGCATATTTCTTTATCGGGTATCGAAGAATAGCATTATTAACAAAGAATGAAATATGGACGTAATGACGTCAAAGACAAAACGTAGAACTGCTCATATTGATGAAGTAGCAGGTAGAAGATTGCCATGTGTTTTCGATATTACCAAATGCAACTGTCGTGTTCTCTGCATTAACCATGTGCAACAGATTTTTGTTTAAAGAGATGTGTTTTTTGAGTATATATTTCAGATGGAAAATCGATCATTTTCGTTTGTTATTTTCTGGCGACTTACATGGACTTACTATGTAGCAATGATGATGTCGAATCCTAGCCTGTATATTTTGTTATGTTATATCTTTATGACATATATATTTACATGTCTATAATAAAGCCTCTTTCCTTATGTATTTCAGTTTGTCTTACTTCAATTAACGCTTTTCAAATTCCACGTCCACTAGTAATATACAGAACACACAGGAAGCAAAGTTAAATTATTTGATCTGGTGTCATAACTCTTGGACTTTTATCATTGTTGTACGGGGGATACCACGGTACACAACTCTTCATTTTCGTTAAAATGGTACATATTTAGAAAATCGATGTCAATAATACTATTTGTCATTTAGTTGTCAGAAATTTAATTTAAGTTGGATACAAATTCATAGAAATTATTAATCTCTCTAGGTGACATCAGATAATGGTTGTTTTTACTTTGATTCCTCCTACACTGATTAGAGATAACGTGTGTGGTCTCTGCTCGTTTAACGATGGCGCTTATTGCATTGCTATGGAGGACCTTGATTCACAAGGCCGTTATCTGGGTGAAAATTGATGCCAATGTCTATATACAATGTATAAGAGGTTTGCCTACCAGCCTACCTAGCCACCTAGCCACCCACTTCACCTACCTACCGGGCCCTCATCAGGCAGTAGCAGATTACTCGGACAGTAGAAGACTCTAAAATGGAATTCTCTGCTGCGAAAGAATGTGCATTTGCGTTTTTGCGCATTCAACTTTCCAAAGCTTGAACTGCTGCATCAATACTGCCTACAAGGATAGTAATATTATTTATTGATTGCCGGGGCGAAGACAGAATGTTTATAATTTTAAGATTAAATTACGTTCATACCTCATTTTGACTTCATGTAATAGTTTTGCGTCAGATTTAATAAATTGTGATCAATTTCATATGAATACATGAGCCTGAAAAATGTGTCAACAACTATATACAAATTTTGCGGAACTTTATATACACATTTTTTAAAGTAACCAATTTTCACATCCATTTAAAAAATAATAAATGCGTATTTCATTCGACGCACTGATGACATGTTTCGTTTTTGACATTGATTAATCACTAAAAGTATCCTTTTGATGTGTCATTTTGTAATTAGTAACTGGATTTTGTCTTACTAGATTCAGAAGTTCAATATTATGTAAAGATAGTGTATAGATTGGTGTGGTGAAAACAATAAATTTCACAAAAAATCGCATATTATGTAAATTCGAATGGTTGATCGATTACTTCAAAAAGACGAGCACACGAACACGGTATGGAATTAAAAAATTTAGTTAATAGAAAATAGTTTCTCACAAGAGCAAATCTTGAAAATTTAAATAATATGGTTGTAATTATATTTTACAGATCATGATGCGGTCGATGTAGTTTCCCATTTTACCAACATTTCTTTCAGTGCAACAAAAGCGCCGCTGATTATTTGATTTAAGATGTTCAGTGTATTTTACAAAGAAGTGATAGTAATGCCGTATTTGTCACCAAACAATAGGCAAGGTTTCAATCCATGTTTAATCGTCAGTTATATGTGTATCTGCTGGCGAGCGAATTGAGGTATATACATTTTTCATATAGATTATCCTCTATTTTTATTTTTTCTCTAAGCAACAAATGTCTCATTGGTTCATGACAGAATATTTATAGTTCCATCATTATGACAGTCAGATTATTTATTTTCATAAAGGTTCATTCACAAATATCACATTTCCGGCCAAAGTCGGATTTCAATTTCGTAGGCTGCATGGAAGGAATGGGCGCTAAGGTAATCGAACAATTTGAATATTGAAACCCTATTGAAACCTTCCGTCTGTTCCCAAGTTGCTGTTGATGTTTGAATTATTTTTTTCGCCTAGCTATGGTTAACCGGTTACATGCTAAATATAAAAAGGTCAATCGATAAATATAACATATAAACACAGACAGTAACTTACGAATAATAACATACATGTATCTCACAGTGGCGAGATTCCTTTGTATGTTACAGTTGGATGCAGTTCAACTCTACTTTCATTTTCCTACATAAAAAGGAAATTTTGGAATTCATATATATCACTGAAAAAATGTTTTGTTCATTTTACAATTTAACGATGAACCTAATTCGTTTGTACATATTAGCAGCTCATGAACGTCAAAATTTCGGAGGCTTTAAACGTCAAAAACGAAAAGTTTTAAACCAAAAGTTGTTTATTTTTAACAATAGTGTAGCAATTTTTAACCATATAAAGAAAACATATATGTTTAGAATTTTAATCATGCATGCCATACGAAGTAACATCGCAAATGCAGGACAACTCGGAAAGTCGAGTGAATTTCTAACCCGTTCAACAGAAGTCTCTCTGTTTACATTAACAGTATATCATTTATCGATGAACGCCACTGGCATGTTGCCAGCTAGGAGAGTTGAATATTTAGAACACAAACAACAGACAAACGATCGCTATAAATGATGTGTAGCGCGCGGCAGTTTGTTGATTTGCAGGCAATTGTGTTGAGAACGGCTAAGCATTGCTTGTGGAATTTCTGACGACTCGAGGTAAGCCTGTGTTAATATTTCACACTATTTTTGCCTATATGCTAAAATCATATATACTAAAGCATTTAGAGTGTCGACTGTTGAAGGAACTGTGTATTGTTTTTTATTCACTGTTTGGCTATGTCATATTAAATGCCTGCATGATCACAGTTGCTTGAATCGACCTTCATCTGACATCTTTAGCAAGACTGTTATGTTATGTACTATCTGGCATATAACAAAATGGCATGCAGTCAGTTGTTTTCCCCAAGGGCGATAACTGGTACGTAGTAGCCTTGCTCAAGTCTAAAAGTTTTTTTATTTTATAATTTTTTGGTGGTGAAGGTTCAATGGATTCAAACAACTGCATTCAAGATACAAACGTACATTAAAAATATTAACTATCTTCAGTGAATTGTGTTTTAGACACGGTAAATTATCAAGTGCTATTTTTGTGAGGATACGTTATGATGTCTGACTAGATAACATAACAGGAGTGTTATACTTAAGATTTATATTATTCTCAACACAATATTATCCGAAACTGCAGGTAAGTTTGCATTAAAACTGAGAGTTCAAAAGGAAAAAAGGAAGGTAATTAAATGAGATTACAGCTAGTAATGTAATATTAAAAAGGGTAACATTTTATATAGCAATTCAGCAGGTGGATGAATTGATATTTTGCGATTAACCTTTAGTGCATGTTTTACTAATCTTCGTTACACATTTTAAATACTCTAATATTCTAGAAGGAAACAGATTTATTTAAAAGTAAATATCGATTTAAATATTTAATAATTAACATCTTATTATGCATTTCTACAGGTACCTTACAGATGTCTGCGAAAAACGTTCAACCCATAATATTTCTATCGCATGGGGCTGGTCCTTCATTTTACATCGATGCCAAACAGGCACCAAACTTGAAAGGTCTAGACAAAGATTCAAAAGCAGCGGCAGTTTTAAAAAGCTTTGTATCAGACCATCAAATCAAGAGTCCTAAGGCGCTGGTAGTTCTGAGTGCGCACTGGCAGGAGAAGACATGTTCTGTCAACATAAATGAGCAGCATTCCCTATTATATGACTACGGCGGCTTTCCTCAAGAGACATACCAGCTTCAATGGCCAGTAGTCGGGGATCTAGGCGTGGCCAGGAGGGTCAAGGAATTGTTGGAGGCAGGGGGATTCGCCTGTAAAGAGGAAAACAAGCGAGGATTAGACCATGGTGTATTTGTGCCTTTGAAATTAGTGTTCCCAGAAGCTAATGTTCCAGGTAAGATGTAGGAAAAGAAGATTTGATAAACCATGTATCAAACAAACATTATCTTAATTATGAGTATCCAGTTGATCAATGTAAGTAATGTCATATATAAATGTATGTACGTCCCTGAAATACGTCCACCCTCCCTCGCCCTAATACTTTATCCTGGATCTGTAATTGTGTTATATATGAATACTTTTCTGTTTTATTTTTTTGTAAAACATTTAATAGAAATTTATATAAAACCTACAAGTTTAGAAGAAAAATAAATAAAAAAAATGTACATAAATATAAATGGGGGGCGATTTGGGAGAACTTCTTACATGATTATATAAAGCATGCATTGTTTGCCCGGCTATTGGAAGACTGATTAAGCTTATGCGTCGTGAACGTAATTTTCAGAATGTGAAGAAATAAATAAAAAAAATCCTGTAATATATTTAAAATTAAAATAAAGTAGTATTTTCAGCATATACCTGATGAATGTTGAACCCATTAGGATTGCTGTGGCATGTCTTTATTAACGATGATTGTTTTAAAAACTTGATTATTTAATTCTATAAGGAAAATAAGGAATCCAAAAATAAATATTTCTCTTTTTCTTTTGTCAAATGCAAACAGAAAATTAATTACTGGTGCAGAATGACATTGCCTTACTGATATATGCTGCTTTCAAATACAGTGATACATTTGTGTGTCCTCTTCAAAAGAGGTGTTCACATCTATGAAACTGATTTAATATATTTGATGAAAGTGATTATGACTAGTTTAGATAAACCATTGCAATTTGAAAGATACACTAGCATGAGTCAGGACAGGGGAGAGCATTCAGGCAAATTTGTGTTGTTAGATAATGCGTATTTAGTTCGTTTAAAGGGAGGTAAATCCTACACTCGTCACAAGAATGATGAAAACATTGACATAAATCTTGTAAATTAGAACAAGCAAATCATTTCAGGATATTATTTTAAATGAACAAAGGAAAATGTCCATAAAATACCGATGGTGTAGGAAATATTTGCTCGTATACACGTAGAAGGATATAAAACTCAGACCATGTGAAAAATCCGGGAATTGAATAAAACACGTTGTTGTTTCCTTTTTACTAGTGATACAAGTGTCACTCCTTAAGAGTTTGGACATGGCTGAGCATCTGAAGATTGGCGAGGCGCTGTCAGACCTAAGTAAAGAGAATATACTAGTAATCGGTAGTGGGTTCGCTACACATGGAGGATTGTCTACCGGTGGTCTGGTGTGGGCAAAACCGTTCAAGGAATGGATTCATGATGTCGTGTCGAACTCAAAACATAGCGCTGCTGAAAGAAAACAAAAGTTCCTGGATTATAAGAAAGTGGAGACATTTTCAAAAGCGCATCCTGCCATTGAACACTTCCTCCCCATTGCAATATGTTGTGCTGCAAGCGGATACCAGGCAGCTGAAATATTATTTTCTGAATTTTCAATAGGTTGTCTGTTGAATGATCATTACAGGTTTCCAGCAAAATAAATATCAGAAATATATCCTTATAAAGTTATTATCTCATTGCACAGTATTTTTAATCGATAGTCAAATTATCCTCTTAAATACTAGTCCTCAAGAATGGCTGAATGAATCGTAACCAAATTATTGTAATACTGATGCTTAATACTTCAATGGCGTTAATGATGCTAGTGCCAACCCGCAATCCCTTCCCCTCACTTTATGAAATAACAGGACAAAAAACGGGGAACTCTTTAAACATTTAAGTTGAAGCATACCAAACATGTCAATTCAATATTTTTCGTAATGAGATCGTTTGCATCAGTTTTCAAATATCACTGAAATTCAATGTCCTAGCATTTTATTACGCTTTATTTGATTGAAATCATTCATTACTAGGCCCTCTCCTTGAAATCATTGAATATCATAACCGTGCAACATAACGGTGTATTTATTACATTATGTGTTCATTCTTTTATATGAATGATTTTTCCACATATGCAGGAACCACATTAGAATGTGCCAGCAAGGAGATCAAACCCCTATTGACTGTGCTAGCATTATTCTATAAAGTGTACATGGCTATTAGAGATAAGTACTCTGTTGTTTATGATTTTATTAACCAAAGTGATTATACGTGTATACACTTAATTTAGGCCATGTAATATACATGTATAATATAAATACTTGCCTAAGAAGTTTAGCAGTGGTATGTTATAAGTAATTGGATTTTATCCGCCTTTATCTGCGTCGCTTTCAGAAACATGAAGTGTTATAATCCTCGTATATATTCGACAGAGATCGAGTCCCTTAGTCTTTCTACATGTCAGGTCCTGGTGGACTCTGCTGGTGGCCTATCTAGCTGGAATGAATTCTTGCAGTGTTTACTTGAAATGCTGTAATGTATTCTGGCAATATTTACATGGAATACTAGTTAAAGAATCAATCAACATAAATTATCTGTTGCTTTCTTAATCATGGAAACGTAACATGAAATACTAGTTAAAGAATCAATAAACATCAATTACCTTTTGCTTTTTGAATTCTGGCATTGTTCACATGAAAAACAAGTTAAAGAAGAAAGAAAGATAAATAACCCAGCTGTTGCTTTTTGGAACTCTTCATATATCGATTTAAGTTCTTTTGTGACCTTTAGTACCACTGATGAAACCTAAAGGGACGCAATGGCCAAAATGTGAAGTAAAAAGCTTTGTTGGGATCCCAGAATGTAATTACTATTTTGTTTATTAGTGAAACTTGACTTCGTATATCTAGAGATTATTTTATCTACATTTGGGGAACATCTGGGGGCATACAACATGTTAAGTTCCCTTTTTAACACATTAATGTCTCAGAGCATGCCCAATCCCTAAATAAAAGTGGACAGATTTTTGCAAAAGCTAGACAGAGACCGGAAAAGGAGGGTTAGTCCTTAACCAACTAATCCTGAAATACGGCTTGACTTACATCCGCTGAACAGCGTAGGCTGGCAAAAAGGTCAAGTGAGCTTATACCATGATATTATATCAGTCATCTTTAGGTCCATTTCCAACAACTACTTTTACAGCTAGTCCAGATCGGCCTTGTAGTAACCAATGTTATAACTTTGGCTGTCTCTTCACACAGTTATTTCACATGCTTTGTTTTACATCTTTTACTTAGTACGGTCAATCCTGTATTAAAGTATCCTGGTGGTTTGTTTCTGTGTTTCGTTGACCACAGAACCAGATAATGATCAAGGTACGTATTAGATATCATTCCTATGTGAAGGAATTATCTATGATTATTTATGGCTTTAAATCAGCATTCGATAAAAAATACAAGCAGGGCGGAAATTTTGGCCTGATTATAACATTTATTCTAAGACTTTCGTGCCGTTGTTTCTTTGACTTTCCTACTATTAAAATAAAACTTGAAAAATTGATCTCATTCATGATACTTATGTTTAATGGGTTAGCTCTTCATCCTTCTGGAGTACACACAATTCGTTGGTATAAAAGTATTATCTGGAACTGGTTAAACCCCAAAAATGTCGATCTTTATTCCATAATTATTAGAAAAAATAAAACATGGCTTTTGCCCGACGAAAAAATGCTGGACATAGATGTATCGCTAATTTACTTAAGTTCTGACTTTATCATATAATCGAATAAAAATTATTCAGGTTCACCCCCTGAAATATGGTATAGCCACCCAAAGTCTCAATGCGCTAGTAAGTCATACTTAAAGACCCCAATTAAATATCGAAATTCCCATATGATATTTAGACATATTGAACTTGTGTATCAGTTATTAACATGGTAGATAACGACATTAACTCGGTGTGCCAGCAGGCATTGAGGTTGATGTCTTCCTCACTATAACATGTCGGTCTCTTTTGAGTACGAATTGTATGCTGCGTAATGACATATTATCTAAAGTTCATTAATAAACCCAGGTCGTGCAGAATTTAGTTTATCTTCTACTAGCTGTCGAGAAGCATACCTGCTTCAAACCAAGATGGCTGTGGCTTTGGGAAAAAACACGAATAAAATAACATATTTTACCGTATAGAATATAAAACAAAGAGTAAAACAGCCTTCGTTTTTCTCTTTCACAATCTGATAAATTAATTTATTGGCGAAATTTACAATGATTTTAGTGGTTTCGCATGGCCACATCCACCTTTGTGACGAGAGCAGTGGTAATGACAACGAAACAACAATGTATACTCGTGTTATAGAACGCTAATGGCTTAACAGATATGACCGGTAGCGCAGCTGACAAGTACCCTGCTTTATAATCAATTGGTCCGGCAATCGAATCCTTTGTGGCCGGTGTGCTTCTTTACAGCCTGTTAAAGTGTACTTAATCCCCGCACGACCTAGGTTTATAAATGAACTGTAGATAATACGCCTCTTCATAGCAGTCAGTTGGGTTTTGCAAAAGAGATTGACATGTTTTAATGTCAGTAAACTATTTTGATTGAACCGTCACATTATTGTCACAGTTATCGTCGTTATATACCATTTAAATAGCTAACATTCAAGTTAAAAATATCCATATTATATAACTCAATTCGGATGTTTATTTGCTGATTTTAAAAAGACCTGTCATGGGGTTGGAATGTTTGGTGTCTTGTAGAACCTTAACATTACATGTATACATATTATATCAGTCTTTAACAATACATAGAAGAACATTGTTAATTCGACATTCCCACTGTTCGGATGATCAGAAAATAATTTAAATAATAATATATGATTAATTTGTCCGAAATAAAGTATTTTTTCCCCAGCTTTATATACTGAAAGAGTTTCAAAAAGCTTTAGGGTGTGACTATTATGAAAAATAACAGATTTTGTTAACTATTGAGTGTATCATATATTGATGAGATTCATTTTCAAAGGTTAATTAAACTATACAGTGAAAATTTGAATCGGCATAGGCATCATGGCAGCGTATTTAACCCTTGCATAAAAAAGATTATATTTATTTAATTTTGTGACACTCTTTACATATATCTTAAGTGTTACACTCTAAATGATATCCCAACAGGGCTACACGCTATTTTTAAACTGTTATGTTAACTTTTGTACATACCTGAAATACATTTAATGTGTGTATCCATGTGTCTAGGAAGCACATTATTAAAACCCATGTATTTTAACGTTTTTTTATGTTTCTGAAATGCGTTTAATGTATTTAGGACATGTTTCTCATCAATGTTCCTCAAGTAGGTCTTTGTTGGTATCGAAAGAAATCCATTTCGTCAGTTAATGGACTTTTACATTGACCTATAATGCACGGTAATGTTTTGGAGGACGCAATATATACAAGTGTAATACAACGCTGTATGTTTGCGGCTTTTTGCCAAGCAGGTTTTATTTCTATCTTTTAATAAGTACGGCGAACCGCTGAACATGTGTGTTTTTATCTGTCTGTTTCAATGAATATGGATAAAAAGGGATTTGTTTGACTTTAATGTCACCGAAATACGTTTGTACCTTATGACGCTTAACATAACAGGTTTTGTGCTTTATTTTATAAGTACACCATACAAGAAAGACCTATTCTTCACCTGAAACTGTATATAGATTTCATATATAAAGCTGTAGTATTCTACAAACAGGAATACTGCGAACCATGCCACACATTTGGTAAAAGGTCCCAGGCAACGTCCATGTACCTGTATATCTATAATACATTTATACAATACTAAAACATGCATTAGTAGTAAAATCAATAATAAAATATGTATGGCTTCTACCAATCTAACATTAAAATCCTTAGCTTGCTATACAACCGTGTTTTTTTAAGGTGGAGTGTCTCTGCGCTCTGTGTTGAATCCCCATTAAAGTAAACCTCCAATTTGTTCGGCATTTTTCTGACTTGGAGATACGTGCACCGTGAGTTGTGTAAGCAAAAATGTAATTATTGTAATTTTTCTTTTTCACAGAAACACATTCGTCACAAGGATTCTATTCCCGGACCATTTGATTATAAATCAGGGAACTAATCAGCTGCGCTACCGGTCATATTTGTTAAGCCATTAGCTTTCTATAACACGAGTATACCTTGTTGTTTCGGTGCCGCTACCCCTGCTCTCGCTTAAAGGACGTAGCATTACTCGGAATCGACCTAGATTTACATGACGGATGTCGTTGATAAAGCAGAAGACGCTTAACCTTTCGGAACACCTGGTCCTACTATCCTTGTACATTTCAAGTATTTCCACGTAATTTCTTCATATTTTGTTTAACTTCATATATTTTCGAGTCTTGCAACCTTGTATATGTCTTTTATGAATATACATGAAAATATAAATTGACAAGAAGACATTTCGTTTCAGAATCTGTATACTGTACAAAGGCATTTATTTGCTTTTTATGAAAACACAGAGAATAACATAAATTTAACATGAAGGGGTATATATTGTCAGTGTCTTCTTACCGTAGAAAATGGGCGAGAGTCTCGTCATTTAATTAATGTGTTGTAATTTACACACTTCCACAAGGACACTTGTCAAAGTCACTAGTGTTTTAGAATTAAGTTCTTCAAATAAATCCTTACATTTCAAATGATGTACGTGTCATCTGAATAAGCTCATGCAGGTGTAAATGTGAGACATATAAGCTGTCTGTCTGTCTGTCTGTCTGTCTGTATTTATTCGGCGTCAGATATAAATTTAGACAATTGAGCTGTATATTTTTCGGGGTCAGATATAAAATTCAGCTAGATATGTATTCCGGTTCACATACGAATTTGAGACATGTAGCTATACTTTCATTCGGGGTCAACTCTAAGTGTAAATTGGAGACATATAATCTGAATAATAATTCGGGGTCAGATATAATTTTGAGACATTTAAGCTGCATGTGCACTTTACATGAATCTTGAAACATTGAATCTGGACACTTATTTGTTGTTCTTATAATCATGTGTCTCTCCTATAAGCTTAAACCAGAGATGTTAATATACATCAGATGTTTCCTATCAAACAGGAAACACTTTTTAGCAAGCATTACACGTCAATAAATCAAGGTTTGAAATGGAATCATAGTACGGTAGCAATCCGATTTTTTTACCGTAAATCAATAACCACCTAATCGAAATGGCACTGGACCTTTAAATTGCTAAAAGTGATAGAAAAAATACCACAATGTCAATAAATAATACCCCGAAGATAATTTAACGTTTGTATCTTCCAGTCATCTTTATATGAAAATGTCACCTTCTGCATCAATTCTGGACCATTGAAACATATTAATGAGGTTAACCATATATAATTATAACAAAGTTAACTACATTCTATACCAAAGAGGTTAACTGAAGTTAAGGCAAAGTTAAAAGTTGTTCAGAATAACGAAGTGATAAAGTTAAGACGAGGTAACTAAAGTTATAACGCGATAAACTGTAGTTCAGATTAACAAGGCGATTTAGTTAATCCGATGTTAACTAAAGATACAACGAGGTTAAATGTAGTCCAGAATAACGAAGTGATTTAGTTAATTCGAGGTTAATTAAAATTACAACGAGGTTAAATTTACTCCAGAATATAGAGATGTTTTAGTTAAGACGAAGTTAACAAGGGTTATAACACGGTTAGATGTAGTTCAGAAATATATTCATATGTACGTGTGATGACCTGATAATGGGCCGTTCATGGAGCCCAATGAAGAAAAATGGATCTTTATTAAAGTCAGAAACCTTTTATATCCTGGACGATCGATTATTTTACCTACTAACGAACTAATATATATTCATCTGCTGGTAAACATCTTAGTTTTTGTTTTGTGTTATTTAATTTTGGAACGAGAAATTCAGGTAATATTATTAGCATTTTTGATAAAAATAATAGGTATAGTAATCAAGTACAAAAACATTACAGGATTGAGAGGAGACCTGGGCCCAGTTGTTTAAAAGGTGGTTAGCTTAATCACTGCTTAACGACATCATTCAACCTTTAATAATTTTGTCAATATACAAGGTAAAATCTCACAATTTTGCATGTAAATTTACTCTACTAAATATTTCATATCTGGAAAGTTGTAACTAATTTCATGGTTGTGTTTTAAAGATACACAAACATTAGAATTTGCGCTAATCACTGATGAAGCTAATCACTTTTGAACAATTGGGCCCTGGTATTGCAACAATTACCATCCTTTTGTTTGATCATTTAATTTAATCATTTAGCTAGGCTGCTATGTAGCGTTACAATCACAAGTAGTGATATATTTATTTATATTTCTTACACATGGCATTTGCGTTATGTTAATCGTTTATGTTAAATTGGAGTATACAAACATTTCTCAAACCGGTACACATTACATCATTCGTTTCATAAAAAATCCAATTCAAAGGAGACTCCAGGAGATCATCTATCCCTTTACTCAACCTTATTAATGCATACATTGTGCTTATGGTAATAGAGCCGATATGCAATCAGACACTCCCAATTTTTGTCAACATGTGGCGTCGTAGCAGGGTAGATTGATTGATTACCTGTAATAACATTTATCTAAAGCGTTGATAATGTACGTCTTTGAAAAAAACTTATCTGTGATTCATATTTGCATTTTAAAAATATGATGATGGCCAGACGAAAAATAAAGCTATACAAATTTATATTTGATATGTAAATCACCTACTTATACTTCAGTCATTTAATGACGTTTGTATATGAACTAGTAATGAATCACATGTAGGTACGTCAATATACAAGTGATACACACCATATGCTAGCTTAACTGCGTCATCTGTTTAGTTGAAAAAATGTGTCTGAAAAGCTTATTGTTGTCGCGGCACCAGCATTTAGCTATTCAAAATGTAGTTTTTCTTCAATTATAATATTAATTAGATACCCGATCAACGATATTGCCAACTTTTTCGTATTGTTCATTTTTGTTTTGAACGACTTTTCATACTTTGGCTAGCTAACATCACAAACAAACAAAAATGTTAAAACATCCGACCGAAGTTATAAGTATGTTACAAAGATTTGCGTAGATCAGTTGTTAAACATATGGCAACTCTTTATTTTCACGCCTATGTTCAATAAATAAATTACTTATAGATGCACTTCCTGTTTCACTAATCTACAAGTTATTCATTATTCCGGATTTTAAAAAGGTGTTCAGACAATTGAAAGGAAAAACCCAGCACAGCTTGTAAGCTGGAATGCACAACACATTGTCTCTGGAACAAGATATTTTAAACAAATATTAAAATATGACTTGCAAACTTCCTGCAAACTTATTCGCTGATACCTACGTTACTAATCTATAACGTTCTCCATGCTATCAAATCATTGTATTGACTTCAACGTACGTAATAATTATAAATTATCTGAATATGAGAACGATAACGAGTTGGAAATCAGTGATTTTCATTGAAAATGCTAAGTGTCAGGCTGTATCCTACATTATTGTTAAAATCATCGAAAGAGTTGTGCGATTATTAAAACTGAACAAAATGTCCATGTCCTTGGATTCAAAATTACTCCATCAGTAAAACACGCAAAACTACTTCTAGTTTACAGATATTTCTCAAAAATGTATTTCGGAAATTTTACTTAACGTATTATTTAAGCTTATAAAGTTCGACAATTGTGTCCAGTTTATGTCCAATAAGTATAGTAACAAATCCTCTCACAAAACATACCAATAATACATCTTATTGGCGGATTTGTCGAGTGGTTAACACTCCAGCCTTCCACGCAGGCGGCCGGAGTTCGATCCCCTAAGTCGTCGTACGCATGGAATATTCAGAGAAAGTGTTTTCCTCCTGCCCACACAACTCCAACAACCCAGGTGGAGTACAAAATGGTCTGGGGTGGATGTTGCGGTATCTGTGCTGTAGCGTTCAAGTGAGGTGGCACTATAAATGATACCGTTGGAAGCACGGTCCCACCACAACAAGAACACATTACATCTCCAGCACACACGTAGGCATACACACATATGGAGATATTAGCCAGGTGGCATATGACTAGTAGTTAGCGCCTGATAGGGCAGCTCCTTTGAATTCCTCAGAAATTGTATAGAGTGGTTTATGTTAGCTAGATAGGGCGCTATATCAAATGTTGTATATTGTATTGTATTTTAACAATGACAACATTTATACATATCAATAAAAGGATGGTGGGGGATATTTGATTGGTTGCGTCCATTGTAGTTCCTGATATATTTGGATACATCTATTGTTTTCTAGCATTTTACTTCAGATTTTTACTGTCAGCAATCTCTTAGCGCAAAGTGTTGTTTACCTATTTTCTACCCTTTGACCCCGTGAAACCTTAAATAGTATGTCGATGTTCCATTAAGACTTAATCAAACAACCAAAAGAAATAAAATCCAACGCTTATACAACATAAAATGTATAAACTCTATATCATGCTGCCAAAGCACGATTACGGAGATATCAAAACAAAAGAGAATGCATCATGAATTATCTTATATATATTTATATAGAAAACCCCGGAGGCGAACCGAGGTGTTCCGAACACGTTGTAACACACCCATTACATGATATCCATTCAGAAAGTCATACCGATATCACGATTGCTGTAACTAAGATTTGTATCACTATCAAACACGTTTACCACCTTTAACAAAAACAATCCCTGCATGTATATGTTTAGACATGCTTGTCTAATGCTGAATTAGAGATTACATAACTGCGTGTGCTCTATAACGAAGTCTTACAACGTGGTGTTATTTTACTGTTTGAAGGGCTAACTAACAAAATACAAAATAGCGGGGAAGTGATTCATTGTATTGCAGGTAGAAATAAAAATAACAAACAAGATAATAATTATTGCTGATATAATGTTAACAGTTAATGCATAAATGAATAAAACATATTTTTTTTGTGTATATTGACATTAAATCGTGATTCACCGTGTTTATATTCGCTTTGTATACGTGACCTCTTGTTTCAAATTAATGGCTGTATGAGCGAATAGGAAAGTTTAAAAACCTGGATTTTTTATGATATATATATTATAATGTCACACACATCAAAGTAAACACTTTCTCACGTAAGTACCACCACGTAAACAACATTTACCAGTAATCCAGAATCACTCGTGTAATACTGCGAAGTAATACTTACACGTATAAATACAAACATTCACATTTGTTCATAGAGAGTGTGTACGGAGGCAAGACCACTTCATGCTAATAGTTATTATCTAAACTGACGCTTTGGTTGAATGCCATACGACATTAGATGTCATTGTACAAGTGTATATATATAAATGTTGTCGAGGTCAACATTTAAACAGCACTAGTTAGCTGTACACCTTTACCACAGCTGACGGGATTTAGTTGTGATAAAGCTGTCTATGTCATTGGTCAACCCTGGGCCTGACTGAACAAAGTGGTGGTGGACAAACAAACAGTCTCCGAGAACAGGTAACCGTTATTTCATTATCAATTTACGTTTATAACCGCTAAATTTCATCCGCCCTCTGTCAACAGTTTGGTTAGGCTGGGCGAATTTATTGGAAAGCTAATATAATATAACACGGTTTAGAAATATAGCATTTCGCAATACACAATTAAATATATCGTTGTGTATTGAAATAAAATATAGAGCATTAAGTCGATAAAAATAAATCCATGATTCAACCTAGTAATGTATAATGTTCCCATTACAGCTTTCTGATCAATATGAAGTAGTGTTTGCTTCATAAATCTAAATAACGTGGTTATTAAATCTGTGTACTGACTGCCTATTAAACGTTACCTTTCAATACAAGTATTTGTTAATTGTAAAACCAGCGGTTTCCTTGTCCTTGACGTAAGTTAAAGCTACATAGATGCTTATTTGAAATTACGACATATGTGCTATCATTTCACATGCTCAGGAAAACAAAAATATCACGATGCAATGCTATGTAATGCAATTTATCGTGATACATAGTGCACAAATGCGATACCTAACGTTACTACTACTACGTCCCTACCTATTCGATATAGTCTCGAGCTTATATGTTAACCTGTTTTGCGACACAGGTGAAAAGTGAAATTTCTGTATCCCTATTGTAAATAGGACGCCATGTCTGTTACACACCTACAAGTTCTGTAGGATCGTTTCGGAGGGCTACCACCCTGAAGACGTGGTGTTTTAAACCGAGTTAAAACCGTCGTATTTTCAAAGGTAAAGTGAACATATCGATTCTCTCTCGTGGTGTTAATCATAGGATATCTGAAACTTGTAGTTACCACGGGATCAAATTAGTATCAGGTCGTCATCATGACCTAATTTTACACCTGTCAAGTCACTGTGTCGACCATGATCGTTCACCTTAGATCATAGGTAACACATGTATGTTTACCTGAATTTAAAAGTAGGCATAATGACAGGTGCCACACGTGATGAAAGAGTTGCTTACAAGTTTAGAGAATCTAGTTCCCCCTTCGGTTTTGATAACAATGTTGTTGTTTTATTGTGTTTTTTGACGTCTCCTTAGTTCCTGTTGTTGTTATGCCTTTGAGTTGATGAGGTGCAGTTTTTACCAGCAGACGTCAGCATATGTGGCCATGTCTTCAGTTGTTGAATTTGTATCATTTACACATTTATAGTTTCAAGTTATGACGTTTAGGTTCATTCCCATAGAGACTGTGTAGTAAACTTATTACTATATTACCCCGTTCGATATTGAATTCGATTCAAAGTGGCATTGTTTCATTAACATGTACATTGTAACTTCAAGGTGAAATACCAATACATGGAGTATAATACATATATAAAGTTTGTATTTAATCTATTCTGAAACTAAAGCACACGTCAAACAGTCCTCTCAATAGTTCCAGTGGTGCCTGTTTAATGAATAAGCAAGAAACAAGTACAATCAGTTATAGTTGCAAGATTCATCGAGTCACTGAGCACTATGTAAAACGTTGTTCTTACTCCCAAATCACTAACGTCACCAGTGACCAAGCTGGCAGAGAACATTTTATATGATACGCTAGACACTCATTCATCCAGACAGTGGTATATCATATAAAACATATATATACCTATTTCATATTGCAAACCAAAACTTTTAACAGGTGTAACCTCTCTCATGCTGTCGTACCTGTAAGACGCGACCACACTGGAGAAACCTTAACGTTGGTCTCTTAACTCATTCACCCCTGAAAATTCATAATGAACTATTCCAACCTTTGAATAGGAAGGGTTCAAATGTGTCTTCAGGGGTAAATGAGTTAAGTATAGTGTCTTCACTGTGTTTTTTTCATACTGTGTTGTACATGTATCTTAAATACTTATCTAAAAAGTACATACAAATATATACAAATAAATGACTTCAAATTAGTTTTTTCGCCATGTTCATTATTGCATATCACTGGGCTTGTTCTTCGAAATTCATATATTTCTATACAGTTTGTCGTACCTTGAATACTAAGTAGTTTTTTCATACCATCGTTATATTTTCATGTAGAAATCTCCTGGAGTCGAGCAGATTTCACAACAAAGCCATGTAGTACCCTGGGTAGTTTATGTCATCATTATAGAGGCTGATAAAACCCAATATTCAGTACAGCTGTGCGGTGTCTGGTAAAACCGTCAGTGGTTTTTTTCTCGTATCACTAGACATGTTATCTGTGAAGACTATATTTCAAATAGCTTATGTCACATCACAAACAGTTTTGCTTACCTACTGTTACAATGGACAAGGTTTCGAACAAGGGTTTTCCACGTATCTTTGTCCGCTATCTGATATTTGATATTTAAATAAGTAAGCCAAATGCAACATTTTTGAAACATATTGTTGTAACGTAGGCTTAAACATATCCAGTATGATATTCGATTTGTCTTTTTAGGTTAATGACCGATATTTTTTTTTAAATAGTACGTGAAATCATCACTGTTCCAAGTGTAACATTAAATGTGTTTAATAGGTTGATGACTGATGTGATTTTTAAAAAGCAGGTAAAATAATTCCTATTTCTAGTATAAGATTCAAACTCTTTATAGGCTGATGGCCATCGATTCCTGTTGTCGTTTTATCGATGTGAAATCATCACAGCGTCAAGTGTTTATGGTATAATGACCGATACGCGTGCCTGCACTGTCAAGTCACCATGATCATTCTCGTCTGCAGCACACGCTTTGCCTCAGTTTTATGGGGTTCATGTGTTTCTGAACAGTTTGGTGTGTCCTCGATTTGCCCGTCTCCGATTGGCCATTCATACATTATCCATTTCTATGTATTGAAAGCGAAGACCAACCTCAATACATAGCATGACCACGAACCAATTACAGTAAAACATTTTTTGGATTGCATTTACCTTCAGCAAAAACCAGAGAAAAAAATCCAGGATGTAACATGTATCTCTAAATAGTAAATATGTTTACAATGCAAGATTACACGAAACCTGTTTGTCTCTTTCAAACGACATAACCAGCCACAGGCATTTTTAATATCCAGATTGACTTTTGTCTATTACTTCTGCGTTTTTTGGATCTATTTCCTTAAACTGTTTTTAATAACCATTTATTGACTCAAATGACCTCTCCTGTGTCGACGGGCCATTAAGAATGTAGTAATAATAATAGTGTTCTCGATTCCTGTTGTCGTTTTAAATGGATTTCCTAGTGTGTTGGTATTATTTTCTTATATACTTAATTGTTTTCTATCTTTTCTTCACATGTGAAGCGGAAATGTCTGTAAGCCAGTGTCAGCCCACTGTATTCCTTTCCCATGGGGCTGGGCCTTCATTTTACATGGATGCAACAGTTGAGCCAAAGGTTAAAGGATTGGATAAGGACTCGAACGCGGTAAAAGGTTTGAAGAGCTTTGTGGCAGACCATAACATCATCACGCCAAAGGCTCTAGTGGTTTTCAGTGCTCATTATGACGAGGATATATGCTCGGTCACATCATCTGAAAATTATTCCTTGGATTATGATTATGGTGATTTCCAATGGCCTCCCGAGACGTACGAAATACGTTGGCCTGTAGTCGGGGCACCCGACGTAGCAATGAGGGTCAAGGAACTGCTCGAGTCGAAAGGAATTTCCTGTAATGCGGACAGCAACCGAGGACTAGATCACGGTGTATTTGTCCCTTTAAAGCTAGTGTTTCCAGAAGCTGATATTCCAGGTACGGTGGTATCTGAATAAAGTGCATGCATAGAGTTGACACGTTTTTACATGGAGATTATTTTGATATACACTAGATTAGCTCAGGTCTTGTTCTACGTTGCGTATCATACATTTATTAGGTATAACAGCACTTACAGGTGTTAAAATTTCAACATGGAGTACATTGATTGATAGGTTTAACGTCCGCTTCACTACCGAGTAGTGTAGCATGACACTTAGTTCGTAAGTAATGATAAAAATGCTACGATTATTTATATATATGCGGACTTCATTGTAGGTCTCTGTGTTACATCCTGTATAATTTTACCTTGTATTGAAGTTTGAATATCAACAAAAAAGGATCTTAATACAGCCGATTCATTCTTTGTAAATAATCGCTATCCTCCATAAGTAAAAGTCGAAATCATTTTCACAAAAATACTAATGCATGCATAATATCACAAATTCGTTGTTTTCTTTTTCCTAGTGATTGAAGTGTCACTCCTGAAAAGTTTAGACATGGCTGAGCATCTGAAGATTGGGGAGGCACTGTCGGACCTAAGTAAAGAGAATATACTGGTGATCGGTAGCGGATTCGCCTCACACGCGGGGATGTGTCAGACAGACCTACCCTGGGCCGAGCCCTACAGGAAGTGGCTTCATGACCTGGTGTCTAACCCAAAATATAGCGCGAAAGAGAGAAAAGACAGGTTTCTGGCTTACTCTGAAGAGAAGTCATTTTCTAGTGCACACAAAACCATTGAACACTTTCTCCCTATTGCAATGTCCTGTGCAGCAAGTGGGTATCAACCGGGGACAATTCTTCATTCTGAATTCGTGATGGGCTCTCTTTTATATGACCATTACAAGTTTCAAGCAAAGTGACCCATAGTAGCAGCAAGTCAGCGGTAAGAGTCGGGATCTGGATGCAGGGGTATTGGAACGTACGTTAGGGCAGAGACCTAAAGTTAATTTAGGTCTATGGTTAGGGTATAACCTGTCGAAAGACACACCCAGTCCCTAGCTACCAACTGATGGCTCTACGTGCGTTTCACTTCTATATACAGACACCTTTAGGAAAGATTGACAGAAAGTTGTTGGCAGATCCATTCGCCCACACAACACATGGATAACCCCCTGGGAACTAGAATGTATATTTGTTTATGTCTGTGTGAATCTGTGTGTTTGACAATGCAAATACTGTGTATAAACGATAATAACATAAAATCAATTAGGTTTGAATTACTAGTGGATACAATTTACACTTTTTTTCTCATCATCGATATAAGGAGGAAATTACAGACATTATTCTGATAGGTTAATAATCAAATTTCAGTGCCATATGTTCACCAAAAACCAATATCTGTGTGTACAATGGCTACCAGTACATGCAGGTGAACTCATTTTTAACAGACTGTCGCTAAGTGTTATCTGTAGCAGTCTTTGTTGCCCTGATGTTTATGATAGAGCACACACATTACCTGATTTTATCTTGGCTGATTTATCCAATGGGCGACTCAAATATACCGTAGACAGTTGAACAACAAAGAAGTCTATTTATTCGAGTTGCAACATTCCAGAAAATCACCTTAGTCTCTAACGTAGAAGACCATTTGGTTATAGAACATACCGGACCTACTCCTATTTTGTCTATAGTCAAATATGTTTCAGGGGACCACCAAAGGGAAGGATCAAACATGATTACTTCATACAGTTAGCTGTTCTGTATGGATAAACAAAAACGATGGTCTCTTAGAGAGGATTGCTAAACAGCGGCGCCCTTTTCTCGTATTTTTTTCTTCTGAAACATCCTAATCAAAATTATCTTAATAGATACATCTGGTGTTTTTTTTTGCAAGATGTTTCTCATTGAGTTGCACATATGATCACAATGATAGCAACGCTAATGATGAAACTGTTTTAGCACATCTAAATGGTGGTTAAAAGTAAAAAAAAAATTAGACCAACAACAGGTCAGCAATAGCAAGGGCCCCACTAAGTGCCTGACTGTATCCATCCATTGTCTATTATTTGTAAAAGTAACATTGACCTTAAGAAACGTTTAAAAACCGTACCTCACATCTACGTATCAAATTCAAAAATGATCAGTGTTTTGGATTCCGAGAGAAGGATTGTACCCCCGTGGTTTATTTTTAGTAGCAGTGACCTTGACATAATAAACTTGTTTATGTGCATTTCAGTGTACAACCATGTCAAATTCGAGATAATCTCCTGTAACAAAAGTGTGGACCAATGGTCAGTGATTACTTCAGGGCACCCAGATGCAGGGTCGAAAAAAATACAACTTTATTTTACTTACAAAATAGTCTTGTCACAAATGACGCTGTATTACTGTATACTGAAAATGAAACCTGGTAGTAAATCAAATTATTTCGATGATAACTACAAATGATTAAACAATAATCAAAATAAGATAATTTCATTTTATTATCATTTCAGTAGCATTTGTTTAAAATGTACATCGGTTTCTTTGCAGTATTTGGATAAAAACAATGTTTTCAAAACCATAACAAATATTTGTATTTAAAATACAAGTATATATATATCGTATATAACAGATATTTACAGGTATCATTCTTCGTATAAATGAAATTTTCTAATGGAGAAAATGTTACAAGGAAAGGACAGACTTAGAAAGGACAAGCTTGCAAGGGAATACATGTTTAAAAAAAAATATAGAAGAGTTATTATATCATGTTTACCCTCCTTTTAACTTTGATGAAGACACAATTTGATAGAATATACACAATATACTAGGGCTGCGCTTTGCATTGAAAAAATTATATACTGTGATACGGTTTGGCAATGTAACAAGTCGTGATACACAACTCAAAAGTTGTAATATATAGAAATGATAGAAGAGAAAGTCTAAACTTGAGGCCTAGACGACAATGCTTATGTACCAGTTCAAGCTTTCTTAGTGGATATAAGTTATTGTTTTTTGAAAATAATTAACACACATCTATGTTAGTAATGCCTGTTAAATGTTACATTGTATTACACATCTTCTGTCCTATTACCTTTAATACTGATCTAATCCTAACGGTTTACCAAGCCACACGGATGTCTCTTCAATCTAAAATTCCTTGAAATATACAATTACTTCACTTAGTACTGAAAATAAATTATATCATGATATTTTCTTTTAATACAATTTTTCTATATTTATCATATTTAGCTTCACAAATTTATCCTGCCACAATTTATAAGGAGACTAGGAATATCTGATTATGTGAAGAGTTTTAAGAGGCACAATTTGAATACTTGGATTTTACGAGACATACATTATTCAAGCCCTTGCTTTGGTTGGTTGGATAACAAACAATATCACCTACATATCCCATCAAAACTGGCATAAAAATGAAATACAAGTATGTATACTTCAAATTTTCTACCATGTTATTCTGGAACAGTGTCATTGCCTTTTTTATATTTATTCATTAAAGTTTCTTTATTTTTTTTTACATGTTTCACTTTTGTTCCTTTAAAACCAACAAATAAACAGTATGTAGATGTATATTTTAACATGGTCCATGGGAGGCTCAATGACAAACAAACTTATGGCATATGACAGATCTCAATCCATGTAGAAGAAATTCTCAAGCTGATAGCAAAGTGGTACAAAACAATATAAAGTACATCTATAGGAGTTTGAGGTTCGACAACAACATGTAAGGTTAATGAAGCTATCCAACTTTTGCTTCGTTTGCCAAATTGTTTGATATTTTCTGATTTTTGAAAAAACTACTGACATTTTCATTAAAGTTTGATGTTCCAAAAAAATGAACTGAATATTGTAACAGATAAGATAAACCCCTATTTTTGTGAATTGCATGTCAACTAACAAATAGGAAAAACACTTAAATCCACACATGTAATTCTAATTTTGTCCCGAGACATGATTGAATCATTTTAAACATCATCCAATGGTTGTTTAATAGACTTATAAGTTACATAACATTGATGTGTGATACAGAAAAAAACCCCGGATTACCAGCCCAAAAACCAATAATTCTTAAATTTGAAAGTCAGAATATCATAAACCATAGAAAACTGAAATTAAAATATGTATGCAACAGTTCAAATACAATGTACAGATGAGCGTAAGTACCATTAAAAACAATACAAAATCAACAACAGAGTACCATACGGGACAGCTCTCATCAGGGATGACAACTTGATGCATTCCTCATACAGTATAGTGCTAAATATCATACTATTCTGAATAACGAGACAATATGCAATATATATAAACTGTACTGGATAAACAGCGTCCAGCATGAAATTTCACTATATACAGCATTCACCATGAAACTTCACTGTTGTACTGTATAAATACAGCTTCTAACATGAAACTTCCCTATATACAGCATTCACCATGAAACTTCACTGTTGTACTGTATAAATACAGCTTCTTACATGAAACTTCACTATAAACAGCATCCAGCACGGAACGTCACTGTATACAGCATCCAGCATGGAACGTCACTGTATACAGCATCCAGCATGGAACGTCACTGTATACAGCATCCACCGTGTAACGTCACTGTATACAGCATCCAGCATGGAACGTCACTGTATACAGCATCCAACATGGAATTCACTGTATACAGCATCCAGCATGGAACTTCACTGTATACAGCATCCAGCATGGAACGTCACTGTATACAGCATTCAGCGTGGAACATCACTGTATACAGCATCCAGCATGGAACTTCACTGCAAACAGCATCCAGCAAGGAATGTCACTGTATACAGCATCCAGCGTGCATGTCACAGTATACAGCATCCAGCATGTAATTTCACTGTATACAGCAACCAGCATGTATCTTCACTGTATACAGCATCCAACATGGAATTCACTGTATACAGCATTCAACATGGAACTTCACTGTATACAGAATCCAACATGGAACTTCACTGTATACAGCATCCAGCATGGAACTTCACTGTATACAGCATCCAGCATGGAACTTCACTGTATACAGCAACCAGCATGGAACGTCACTGTATACAGCATCCAACATGTTACGTCACTGTATACAGCATCCAGCAAGGAAAGTCAGTATATATCATCCAGCATGGAACTTCACTGTATACAGCATTCAGCGTGGAACGTCACTGTATACAGCAACCAGCATGTAACTTCACTGTATACAGCATCCAGCAAGGAAAGTCAGTATATATCATCCAACATGGAATTCACTGTATACAGCATTCAACATGGAACTTCACTGTATACAGCATTCAACATGGAACTTCACTGTATACAGAATCCAACATGGAACTTCACTGTATACAGCATTCAGCGTGGAACTTCACTGTATACAGCATCCAGCAAGGAATGTCACTGTATACAGCAACCAGCATGTAACTTCACTGTATACAGCATCCAACATGGAATTCACTGTATACAGCATCCAGCATGGAACGTCACTGTATACAGAATCCAGCAAGGAATGTCACTGTATACAGCAACCAGCATGGAACATCACTGTATACATCATCCAGCATGGAACTTCACTGTATACAGCATCCAGCATGTAACTTCACTGTATACAGCATCCAACATGGAACTTCACTGTATACAGAATCAGCATGGAACGTCACTGTATACAGCAACCAGCATGTAACTTCACTGTATACCGCAACCAGCATGTAACTTCACTGTATACAGCATCGAGCAAGGAATGTCACTGTATACAGCAACCAGCATGGAACATCACTGTATACATCATCCAGCATGGAACTTCCCTGTATACAGCATCCAGCATGTAGCTTCACTGTATACAGCATCCAGCAAGGAACGTCACTATATACAGCAACCAGCATGTAACTTCCCTGTATACAGCATCCAGCATGTAACTTCCCTGTATACAGCATCCAGCATGTAGCTTCACTGTATACAGCATCCAGCACATAACGTCACTGTATACATAATCCAGCATGAAATGTCGCTGTATACAGCATCCAGCATGGATCTTCACTGCATACAGCATCCAGCATGGAACGTCACTGTATACAGCAACCAGCATGTATCTTCACTGTATACAGCATCCAACACGGAACTTCACTGTATACAGAATCCAACATGGAACTTCACTGTATACAGAATCCAACATGGAACTTCACTGTATACAGCATTCAGCGTGGAACTTCACTGTATACAGCATTCAGCATAGAACGTCACTGTATACAGCATCCAACATGAAATATCACTGTATACAGCATCCAGCGTGCATGTCACTGTATACAGCATCAGGCGTGAAACGTTACTGTTGTACTGTATATACACAGCTTTCACAAGCTCATGCTTCAGATAAGTATTTTCAAACATACACAGACAATCAACTGATAACAAGCACTTTCCTTTACAGTCGGTGAAAGCCCTGTATACACAGCGGCACTGATTAATGTTCCTATATTGTATGACAGATGACTTAGATGTCTATGAGAGATGTTATGTTGAAGTATGGAGAGCCACACTTGGTGATTCCAGTCCAGAGTCTATGAGGTTGCCCTCACATGATATGTTTTTCTCCCTCTGAGCATCTGAAATGGTTGAAATATCACAATATAATTATCACCTCATTTTACTCAGAATCAGATGTGTTGAATACTCCCTTAACTTTATATAGCTTTACTTTTGGAATATATGAGAATTAATGATAAATACCTAAATGTCATCAGTTGAGGATTTATTTCAAACCAGTTTGAAAGAAAAACATCAGGACATTGCATTGCGTGGCTTTGCAGATTCATTCAGTATACAATTTGTGTTTTCATAATCGTTGATTACATTGAGCGAGATAATAGTTTGACAATGTCAGTCTATATAGAGTCTTGGTGGGATAAGTGTTTGACAGTGTTTGACAGTGTTGGCATGTATAGTCTAGGTAGTGAATAAATTGACAGTGTCTTCCTGTGTACAATCTGGGTGATATAAGAGTTTGACAGTGTCAGTCTATGTACAATCTGGGTGAGATAATAGTTTGACAGTGTCAGTCTATGTAGGATCTAGGTGAGATAAGAGTTTGACAGTGTCAGTTTATGTACGATCTGGGTGAGATAAGAGTTTTACAGTGTCAGTCTATGTACGATCTGGGTGAGATAAGAGTTTTACAGTGTCAGTCAATGTACGATCTGGGTGAGATAAGAGTTTGACAACAGCTGTCTTATGTTAACATACCTTTGATTACAGAGTCTGAGTGAAATAGGAGTTTGACTGCGTCTGTCCTGTGTATAGCAGTCAGAGCATCTTTCAGTCGCTTCACAGTTCCACCACATTCCTGTAAATAACAAAAACCACTATCAGTGATGGAAAATATTTTCTCTAAAATAAAAATGTCAATTGTAATCGGTACAATTAACAGTAACAAAATACATTTTAACTGCTTTGTAATCAAGCTGAACCTCCTCAACCTGTACATTTCATTCACCGAAATGTCTTTCTGGATTAGCAACTTTAATGAATTGTAAAAGGAGAAAGAGTAATGCATGACATGACCGTGATTCAAACCAATGACCCTCCAAATTCTAGATAGATGCTCTTCCAGTTCAGCTACTTGGTTGCCAACGATTGATCCAGTCCAGTTCCTCTATATTCCTTTCTTTTCCCCCAAAGACATCACTATTTACAACCCTGGTTTGGGTATCCCCTTGCCAGGCATTCACCCAGCACTTGAAATAAGGGTTGGAAAGCTTGCTAATTTTGCATTAGGAGAAAGAGGATTACACAACCGGTCCAACATGGGACACTCTGAACTCTAGATGGATGCCCTACCAATTTAGCTACCTGTGTTACCAACAATTGACCCTGTCCAATTCTGCTACAGAATGAACAAATCAGGAATTTTTGTGATTTTTGCAAATGAATACTGCTAGACTCATACATCTGGATAGAAAATTGATCAGAGTATCAAAGGAAGGTATAGTATCAATAGACTGCATAGTGTTAAAGTATAATAGAAACCTCATAGTAAGTGAAGAGGAGGCGGGTTGGGCTGTGTCCTGTTTGGTTGCCCGAGATGATTTTGCTGAAGCCCAGTTTATCTGCTAGTGCACGCCAGTCTTGCCCTTCCCTGGCTGGGTCCAGGAGTTGTGAGAGCTTCACCCTCTGCGGGTAAGTGATGCTGGCCATATCACCACCTGTCACAGGATAAAAGCACAGGTAAATATGTGTTTTACAGGTAAAAAGATGTATTAAAACCAGTGATGTGCTTGCACAACATGAATGTCAGGAGGATGTTATGGTATGGTATACTGGTAAATAGCAGTGTCTATGAAAGTCTCCTATTTATTTGTACAGTTCAAAATTCCATTTACAGTATTGAAATCATTTTGGAGAATTTGTGGATTATCTAGAAATAAAATGTGAGCTAATGGTTATATTTTTTGATATATTGACAATTGATTTTGTTTTGTGCTACCTGACTAGTGAGAAGTCTTTATCATATCAAATACAATACATTTGCTAACATACACATATGGTGTCATAATATTGAAGAAAACAGTTAAAGCACAAAGGCATATTAACAGCCCAGATAGTTGACACTAACATTTATAAAAATATGCATTACTCATTGTGCTTAATACACATTTACATACATTATTTCCTCTCTCCTACCCTCACATAATTCCAAGGACTCGCCCTCAGGGATGGGGCTTGACCCTCTCCCCTACCCCATTTGCAACATACAAAAGATTTCCCCAGGACTAACCATCAGTGATGGGGCTTGACCCTCTCTCCTAACCCCAAGAATTCCCCAGGACTCACCCTCAGTGATGAGGCTTGTCTATCTCCCCTACCCCTCATGTAACATACAAAAGATGTCCCCAGGACTCACCCTCAGTGATGGGGCTTGTCTATTTCCCCTATCCCTAATGTAACATACAAAAGATGTCCCCAGGACTCACCCTCAGTGAGAAGGCTTGACCCTCTCCCTAATGTAACATACAAAAGATGTCCCCAGGACTCACCCTCAGTGATGGGGCTTGTCTATCTCCCCTATCCCTAATGTAACATACAAAAGATGTCCCCAGACTCGCCTTCAGTGATGGGGCTTGTCCCTCTCTCATACCCCCAATATTTCCCCAGGATCCACCCTCAGTGATTGGACTTGAACCTCTCTCCTACCCCCAATATTTCCCCAGGACTCGCCCTCAGTGATTTGACTTGACCCTCTCTCCTACCCCCAATGTAACATACACAAGATTTACCCCGGACTCACCCTCAGTGATCGGTCCTATACTGCTGAGCCCACTTTCCACCTGTTCACCCTTCACCAAGGAGAGTGAGGTGAACATCTCGGCTGTCTGCTCATACGCCCTGTTGTCTGCCTCCTCATGTATTTCGCTCATACTGGTGTAGGGGTGACCGTATAACACCTTCAGGATCTACAACAAGACAAAACATTGACAGAGGGGGACCGTACAACACCTTCAGGATCTACAACAAGACAAAACATTGACAGAGGGTGACCGTACAACACCTTCAGGATCTACAACAAGACAAAACATTGACAGAGGG